CAAGGTTTTCCTCTTCTCCACAGAGACAAATCAGCCTCCGATGTAATGGGTATATTTTCTCTGAGGCAAAGCGGCAGAGACGTGAAGCTGACAAGTCACTTCCATCTAGTGCCAAAGCCAATAATGGTGGACTTATACTTCCATTCCCTCATACGTCTTCATGGTACAGTGCTTAATTAATTAAGCTCAGGAACAACTTCACTTTTTACCAGTTCGTCTAGCAATAGAAGCAATAAAAATGTTTTTAAGTTACGATTATTACAGATTTACATTTTTTAATATTAAATTTTGTTTCTTGCGAGAGACTTGCTTTATTTAATCGTGACAAGGAAAGTTTGAAAGATATGGTTATTGCTTCGGACATATAAAACGACTTCTGGCCAGTAAGCGTGCCTCCCAGCGTTTTGCATAATAAACTTTCTTAGTCCGAAAAAGGAAAAAGACTTGGTCTCAGAACGGCAATAATTTGCATCACATTTGAAACTAAAAGATTTGTACTTAAATTCCGTTTGACAACCAAGTAAAAAGAAATTTAATTGATGCCCCGTTATTAAGTACAATATAACCCGACTTGAAATTGTTTCACACATTCTGCGATTTTCTTTCAGTTTCTATAAATTTCCAGTCACAGATTTGCAACATTTGGAAATCTGACCCTCGTTTGTAGCCTGTAGGCCTAGCACGTTAAACTTAAAATGATCCAATCACTGGAAAACCTTCTTCTGACAGATATCGTGGGGTACGCATTGTCACGTATCCTGGTAACGCGACAAATACGTGATTCGTGGGTTCCGGATTAGATGAATCGATTTATTGGACAATCACCATGAGTATCTACAAACACTTCAAAAGGTTACTGGAGCAGTGACACACAAAGTCTTCAACACTTCCACAATTAAATGTTCTCTGTACGAATTCGGTGAGCAGGTCTGTACCCAGTCTCCTCTCGGACTGGGCTTCTGCTGCTCGGTAAGTCTCTATAGTGTACATCTTGTAGTCTACCTCTCCCTGAGGTAGGTTTTGGTAGAACCGTATCCAAGGGTTCCTACTTCGCGTATGTCTTTCATTGTGAACAGCTTTCACCTAGCCGTTGTAACAGAAAGGTTTCTGTATGCGTTACCTACGAATCGATGTCTGTCATAACCTCGGAGACGCGTTTCGTTAAGCCGTTTCCTAGCAATGGATTTACATGTCACAATATATATAGGCTTGAAGTAAAGCTGTCCCTATACTTAATTAAGCGCTACGCCTTGGGGACATAAGAGGGAGTTGAGGTTTAACTAGGCCCATCTTAACCTCGTCGCTAAGTGTTGATGAGTTCAGATTCAAGCCTCGTTTGCTCTACCCCAGGAAGAGATGGCTGATGGGGGGGACCAGGTCCGGGGTATAGACGAGACGAAGATGGGAAAATTCCCTTACTCTCGCTGCAAATGGATCCCTGGTTCCACAGCGGTCCAACCCGTGATACAGTTCTTGTGTTTAAATGCTTGTATCGGCCTTTGTGCGGACAGAAGCCGGCATCTTGTGCTACTGTATTTGCTTAGGCCCGTAAGTTTTCATTTCATATTCCTCTTTCTTCCTCTTGCGCAATTAAATATAAGCACACACACAACTGATTCCTGTCCTTCAGGTGAACGCGCCAGAGAAAAATTGCAGTTTTGTATAAAACACCTCCAATTGTTTTGATTTGATTTCTGTAATTCATGAACGGTAACTCGAGTTCGTGCTATGTCTCAACACCGATTTCTTGTTTAACGACGCTGTCGATAACGTAGGCTCCAGGCATATAGCGTCGAATGTTAGAATAATTCATGAGTTAGTGATTAGAAGTGATCTAACGAGCCAAATATTGCTACATCGGAACTGGACTGGAGCGACTGAAGGAAGCCATGAAAATCCGGTCGGGATAGCACATCTCGCGCCCACATTTGAAACTGGGCAATATGAAGGAAGGGCACTAAACACTCGTCCATGGGGTTAGGCCAGAATTTTATTTGGTATGCCTAAGTAAGAGAAGAAATGAAAGTTAGACGGAGAACGAAATGCCCCTTACAGCACTCAGTTATGTTTTGGTATCGGATATAGAATGAAGTCTCGTAATTACGATCATCACGTGCCGAAACATGTAGCCTTCATTTTATGTCTCATATATCATTATGTAATTGTAGTTTGACGAAAACGTACAGGAGAGACGCCGAATATGAGATACTTTTCTTTAACAGTAAAAGATATAGTTGTCTCTGTGCTTAACTAATCAAGCACTACGCCATCAAGGCGTATGGGGGAATGGATGTATAGACCCACATTTTCTTTACGTCGGCACTAGCTGGAGGTGAGTCGTCAGCTTCACGCCCCGACCTCTTTACCTCCGGGGAAAGGGTCCCTGGTACCCATTGGATAGAAGGCTAGGTAGGACATCAAAATCGGTCTAGACGACATGAAGAAGAGAAAATTCTCGACCCTAATGGGGCAAGAACTCCGACCGCTCGGTCGTCCAGCGCGTAGCCAGTCGCTATACTGATTGCGCTAGCACGGCGCCCATCTTTAACAGTTAATTAATTAATATATAAGGAGTGTTCGCCTGCTTTCTTTGATACGGCACAAATTGAATAGAAAACGAAAAAAAAAAAGCTGCTACACAGACACACAAGGTGACCTCGTAATCCGTTTGTTTTTTGCAAAATAAGGAATGTTGGTGTTAGATCGTAGAAGAAAGAACCCTTCATAACCTCCGCTGTGAGAACTTCAGATTCTACATGGAATGAGAACCATGTACTGTGGTACATCGCCACCGAGGTTTCGTAGGAACATCATGTCTCCATCTACAGGGAAGAAGAGTGACTATTCAGAAAGAAGAGGCAGTAGGTTACTCCGAAACATAATAACTATCTAACATACTGGTGTATTTCAGATCACAGAGGAAAATAATTTTCTTTGAATTAAGTTACATTTTTTCCTTCAAATGCCACAGTTTCGAACACTCATCTTCCGTCTATGTAAGCAAGTGAATATTAATTCGGCTTGAGAATTACGTAGCACAAAATATAATCTTTTAAGAAACATATTGTGGTATATCTGCTGAAAGCGGGAACTGTGAAACCAGAGAAACAGCCGTTGCTAGCGAACAGCTCTGAAACAACATTCGTTTCTAGGCAACGGCTCGATAAACACGTTCCAGCGGCAACAGATATGCATGCAAAAATGGAGGTACTTTTGGGAACGGTGTTTTCTATTCAGTCCGTACAAAGGTTTTATAAGGAAGATAATCGGGACAACCGAATCAGTTCTGTACGAAAGTCTGTGAAGAAAGGAGGTAGTTTGAAGGGAGCATCCATTCAGAAAGGACTTGAGTGCGTGAATCTGAAGAATCTCCACTGTTATAAACCGTTGCCAAGTAACGGCAGGTGAAGACAAGAGAGGCTGGAAAAATATAGAGGGTGCTGTGGCGATTTGCGAATTGTGGAAATTGACGATAGCGCCGTAATTGCTTGTAGTGCCGAATCGTGTGTATAAGTGGACACTAAATCGAATATCCAACACCAAANCTCTTAATATATAAACACTCTCATAGTATCACTTTAATTCGACGCTGTATGACCTGAGAATTTATTTGCCTGAAGCATAGTTATATGGGTCCTAAATTACTTCTTTTATAAAATAGCGCAACATTTTCCTGATGCTACGTTTATACACCTACCCTCATGACGTATAAACCGAGGCCTCACAGACGTCAATATAATCCCACTTTATTTCATCCCCCCCCCCTACACGGTCGGAACAACTTTGCTGACTGAGGCCACAGTCGATTGAGGAATTCGACATGAAAAGAACCCCATCAATTGGTAACGGAGGCCCATGTTGTGACGTAACTTAACGTGAGCGCGCCCTTAAGCAGCCTGCAAATTCAGGTCTGTTTGTGCAGATTTTACAGTACGTTGAGTGTAAAGTTTTCTGCCTGTCTGGTACAAAGAACAGTTAAAAAAAATCATTTCTGGCCCCCTTAAAGCCTACATATTTACCAGATATTTAATAATTATCAATCGACAAAACTTGGTTCCTTCTCTGGACGTATTTTGGGAACTAAGTTTACATAAGTTGCATTCTGTCACTATTTAACATCCGTTTTTTAGTTCTGCTAGATAAAACATAATTTAATGGAGAATCAGGCATATGGAGATTATATCCTCTTAATTCTGACATGGTATTAATGAGGGGCAGGCGGTAGCGTAGTTGGTTGAGGCACCATGCTACAAACCGCAAGATCGCGAGTTCGATCCCCGTAGAGATTATTGGATTTTTCAACTGACCTAATCCTTCCAGCTGCGCTATGGCTCTGGGGTCGACTGTGAAATGAGTACCAATAATCTTACTGGGGGCAAAGAACGGCCGGCGCGGAAGGCTGACAACCTCACAAACATCTGTGAGCCAATTGTCTAGAGAATGTGGGGGCTTTGACGTCTCATAACCCTGTGGGCCTCCACTCTCTCTTACTGGGATAACTTCACCTGTATTTACTTTACATGGTATTAATAAATATTTAAACCAAATTAAATGTTAAGCCTATTTAAGTGGGTTTCCTGGTACCATTTGACTACAACAGTCGACCCACATCCTCTCAGCGGCTTTTGTGCTACAGGTTCTGAACCTCTAGTGGTGGTTTGTGTACTCCTCGCAATTTTGTTTGACGTTAATGTCAATAGCTCAGACCACATTGAGTCAAGTAATTTTATGATCGTGAATACTGACTTGGAAATAGAAGGCAGTGGTCATGGTCTAATTTAAGGCATTTGCCTAAAACTATGGAAAACCAAGAAAAAAACCCTCAGTCAGGATACTCGGTGTCCTGACCTAGATTCGAACCGGACACAACAAGCGTGCCGTGCGAATCGCAAGGTAAACAAAGAGAAGTGCGGCGATTTACCGCCAGGCAGCGCCATGATCTGGGAATAGCGCGCTAGCAACTGTCATACAGCTCACATTACTGTTTTCTTGCTCCGCAGGAACTGGCCGTGCTCACAAGTACCGAATTTTGTTATGGCCCTTAGAACCGTCAAATCTACCATCCAGACAGTGCACAGTTTCCAAGTGACACCGTAGGCCGGCCCTTTCTCGCCCCACCGCCTTTGTTCGCAACCAGTTCGCTCGCTGCCATTGTTATTCTAATGACGTAGTAAGTCTCCCATTGGCGAGTGATATCTTGGCGGGAGGCGTGGCTACAGCTATGGTGTTAGGAGTGGGGATGCTAGTTTGCTGTTGGCGAGCGTCTGGACACACACACGATACATACGCTGTAGTGGAGTCATCCGTCAATCAAGTGGTGAGTGTGCAGTGAGTGTGTGAGTGTGTAACAATAGATAATATTTTTGTGAGCCAGTGTGGATTCATTCCGTGTGAACGCGAGACATGGCGTAGAGACCGCCGCTAGCACAGCTACAGCCTGTCTGTGTACACCTGCAATCCCCGAACTGCGCTGTTTCCTCTAAGCCGTTTCGCCGTAGCACCGTCATCACGGAGTTCATAGCTGTGAGCCAATGCAATTCCGTTTGCAGCCTACCCCAGCAGCAGCAGGTGACAAGTCCCTCGTGCTCCGCCGCTGCTGCTGCCGCCGCCGCCGCCGCTGCTGCCGCGGCCGCCGCGGTGTTTGGAGGTGAACTGCCAGCAGTGGCCACCCCCACGCCAACCCCTATAGCCGCAGGCACCGCAACGACCAACCCTCACATCATGAATCAGCTTGGTACCGTGTACGCCACAAAGCGAAGGAGACGAAACGGCAAGAGGTAAGACACGTGTTTGTTGCATGTCTGCGTCACGCGTGAAGTTGTGTGCGTGTGTGACAACGTTACATGAATGTGTCGCACGCGTAATGATGTTTACATGTTCAATACACGCTTTGCACGGCAAGTTAGAGCCGCAAAACTTCATTGTAAAGAAGTATCAGTAGTCCTGAACTATTTTCTGAGCAATGTTGGTGAATTGGACGGGCAATAACATGATTTAGACGGTTGTTACTTGCAAGCGTATCGATTAACAATTTAATCGAATAAAATTATTCTCTACGATAACAGTGAACAAGTGTATCTAATTTAGAGGAGGATTATAGTGGAAAAGACCACTAAAAATTGGTTACAGAACGCTTCATAGCAGTCCGCAGGGCCTAGATTTTATTCCTCATCTAAAAGTAAGAGGACACTGCACAGTTACTAGACCTACACATCAAGACTGTGTCACATGACCGAAGTGCGTTGTATAGTGTTTAGTTGGCAGAAATCGTCTGTTCCCGTGTGAATTTACGTAAAAAATGTATCAAATTTGAAGATTATAATCCTCTGGAATGTGACGTCGTGTAGTCTGATGGAAGTTTAGAGACGTTTCGAAGGAATTTATTGTCTCCATCTTCAGGGTTAGAGAGTAATTTAACCGAGGAACTAGCAAGAAGTGATCAACGCGCAGAGTACCACTATTTGCAGTACGCTTCGTTGGATTCCTCTCGACTCTGAAGTGGAGGCGCTATTCCTCCGAAAATTCGGTAAAATTCTACCGGACCACACGGCGTCACATCCTAAAAGAGAGTACTCTTGAAAGTCACAGCCATAAGAAGCTGACAGGCAAATCCGATACATGTTAAAGGTTAAAGTGCAGGATCTGTTCCAGTTGAAGATGGAAAAAACGTATAGCTTCCTCAGTCCTTTAGCTAAGTTCATGGAGCTGTGCAGCTACTCAAGAACTTCCCAGCATTTTATGGAACTCGACGGTTCATTACCGTGTTCACAAGAGCTCTCCGCTGGTTCCTCTCCTGAACCAGATCTATCCCATCCATACCAGCCCATCCTATTTAAGATACATTTTAATACTTTCCCGCACCTGCGTCTTGGTCTTCCTAGTGGTCTCTTTCCTTTTGGCTTTCCCACAAAACCTTACATGCAATCTTGTTCTTCCGCATTCGTACTAGCTGCTTTCTTTAAAGTTGTTCCTGTGTTTAACTAATTAAGCCCTACGCCATGAAGACGTATGGGGAATGGATGTATAGATCCTTATTTTCTTGACCTCGGCACTAGTTGCAGGTGAGTGTTAAACTTCAAGCCCTGGTTGATTTACCCCTCTGGAAAGAGCCCACGGTACCCATTTTGTTGGAGGCTGGGTGGACCCCAGAGCCGGTTTGGACGACGTTGAGAAGAGAAGAATTTTGACCCTAACGGTACTCGAACTCCGACCCCTCGAACTGCTAAATATATGTAGAGACTTATTGGTGTTCATGACTTAGACATGTACCATCCTTCACACTTCTTTATAACCACGGTAGAGTAGAGTTGTGAATCATGGCACAGAGCCCCTCGGCGGCACGCGGATGACCATTCACATGATATATTCTTCCCGCTAACCTCCGCCCCCCGGCCCCTTCTCGTCTTACACCAAAATAAGATGTCAACATGCAAAGGTGCATGTGAAGAAGTAATAGGCATCGTGTGTATGACAGTGTGAGCATGCGAGCGAGTCGAGGCAACACACCCACATCTCACGCTGCCCCCACAGAGATCAGGTGCCGCCGCCGCCGCCGAGCGTTTCCTTACATTCACCTTCTTGGTTCGACATAATTAAATGTTGCCTATATTGATAGTCACTCGTTTCTTTTTCCCTCGATTCAAATTCAGGTTCGGTAAAAAAAACGCGTGTGAACGGTCCATGGTTTTGCTTGCTCACGTGCTTCACACTTGTTTCCTGGTTAGCTTATTTTTCGACCCTGAAGATGGAGGCGATATATTTCTCTGAAACGTCGTTTGACTTTCAACGGACTGCACGGAGTTATATCCCAGTAGAGAACTCGTCAGGTTTCGCGCAGTTAGGACTTAGTAGCGGCTCGGACTGTTGCCTCTGTTAACGTCATTTTTTTGTGTTTTCCATGAATAACCAATATCGTCTAACTCACCGAGAGAGTTACTAGAGGTGTCGGGTTCGAATCTGGACCGAGACACCAACTATGGTGACTTGGAATTTTACCGCAGTTTTATCAGTCCCTTTAGGAGAATATCGGGATCTGATTTCGAAGTACGACACTACCGCTTCCTTCCACATCCCTGAGCTACAGACAGCGTCGGTTTGTAAGCCGTGATCCACAAAAGACTGAGTCTGAGGCTTATATTACGACCGATGGTCAGTCGGTCAGTCTGTCTAGGAATAAAGCACCCATCTGGGGCTCACAACCAGATATTTATTACTGTCAGACAGTTGTGGGTTTGTTGATGTGGGGCGCTCTGTCTGACGAGAGGACGGGTCTGTCGTTTACAATTGCTGCTGGCCCTCGCCAGTGCAGTCATTCTCGGGTCCAAGTCCCGTGGGACTCGTAACTGTATTTTACTGTCTCAGATTCGAGACTTCCCTCTTTGTCGCGTCTTACGACTCACAGGGCTACGGTGGAGCTATTCGAACCCGCCTCCACACGGGACTGAAAGACTAAATTTCTTCTAAATAATATATAAATATTCAGTTCGTACCTCACAGGAAACAGATTACATCTCCGCTACAAATACCAACCGGTTAATGCTGTTTAGGGAAAGAAACGCTTCTTGTTGTGAGAACCATACGAAACATATAAATACAAGCTGTGGGCAGAATGCAGAGTTTTATTGTGCTAAAGCAGATGGTGTATATGGAAACCATTGGGCTTTAAACAGTCAAGTAAACAAATAAAATAAACATAACATCTATCCTAGGATGAAGACGGGTGGTGTAGGAAATCCGATTCGATTTCTTGAAGTTTGGTAATGATTCTTTCTGTTCTTAGCTGACTAAACGAAAAAAAAAATTGGGCATATTTTGATTAAATTTTCTCATGAACTGATATTTGCAACACCTCCCAAGAGGTGAATTTGGTACCGTTTTAGAGTCCGGGGTTTCGTTTCTTCGAAAATTTGTTTGATGATATGCCTGTTCGCTAATACATTTTAAAAAAGGCAAAATTACATTTAATTTTGAACTGACACGTTGATTTTGCTGTAATACAGGATATAATTGATGTTGTTTCGTTGATTTAACAAAAATTAGGAACAGTCCTACCCCAGTAATTTTATCGGGTTCATAATTATCTTAGGCCTCACAATAATTGTTGATTTTTGACATGACTGAAGTTGAAGTATGTTTTCCGCTTGTGTTCATTTCAGCTTAAATTTAAATACTAAATAGAACCTATTGAAGTTACTGTGGACTCTGAAATGAGTATATTTACTTATGACAGCGTATTATAAATAATTTAGAACAAGTAAGTGTTATTTTATGAGTTCCAAAGCGTTGCAATAAAGATAAAAGAGTCGTCACTTTCGTAACCTATATTTTATGTGAGTACTTCATGTTTCACTATTCATTATCGCCCATTTCTCCTTCGAAACGTAACGCCTGAAAATATGTTAAGTCGGCCAGCAGTACCATTTAAATGTTAGACCAGTAAATTATGTGACAGTTTATTACTTGTCGTGGCCAGGTCTCTTCATACGAAATATGACGTCAGAAATCTAGTCAGTTTGGTTGACGTGCTGTTATTGATAACTTAGAAATATATAATTTGGGTCCATCGACAGATGTGCCGTACTTTATAATAACCAGTTGTTCAAACTCTTCAATCTTCTTGCGTCACATTATCGTTTCTCTTAAATTTCTCATATTCGTCATGAACGGATAAAGAAGTCGCGTAGCAATAGGCTCTTATGTCCGTTACTTCGAGAGATCCTGCAGGTCTGCTCTCCTCGTGACAAGCGAGTTGGTAGAATTGACAGACCTGGGAGGAGGCGCCGAAATTGCGTGAACACGTTTGGCCGTTACTGCTAATTCACTGAGTTTCGAAACCCCTCACGTACTCGTACCTGTCCATGTTCATAACATAATGGAGATTCATCGTTCTATTCATGATGACTGGGTCCTTAGGCCATAATTATAGAAGGATCANTCATGCCATGGCCTTTAACTAGATAAGCACATGAATGAATTTCCTTCTATTCAGCCAGATTTTACTGACACTTTCAATCCAAACCGTGTGTTAATATACTTTTGGTTTCATTTTAGATATTTAAATAAAATACGTACATGAAAGATTTGAGGTTTTCACGGCGGTGACTATGAAGAAAGTAGTCTTCTGGGATTTGGCACCGTGTATATGTGGTGTTAACCGACGTTTCGGAGTAACGTTCCTCCGAAACGTCGGTTAACACCACATATACACGGTGCCAAATCCCAGAAGACTACTTTCTTCATAGTCACCGCCGTGAAAACCTCAAATCTTTCATGTACGTATTTTATTTAAATATCTAAAATGAAACCAAAAGTATATTAACACACGGTTTGGATTGAAAGTGTCAGTAAAATCTGGCTGAATAGAAGGAAATTCATTCATGTGCTTATCTAGTTAAAGGCCATGGCATGAAGACGTTTAGGGGGGTGGATGTATATTTCCATGTATTCTACACCTCGGCACTAGATGGAGGTGAGTGGTCAGCTTCATGCTTCTGCCGTTTTATCCCCGGCAAAAGACCTCCTCTTCAAATATCCACTGGATTGGGATGCTAGATGTGCCCCAGAACTGGTCTGGGTGACATGGAGAGGAGATAAATCTTGCTACTACCGACACTCGAACTCCGGCCCTTCAGTCGTCCAGCTCGGAGCCAATCGCTATACCGACTGCGCTGTCCCTGCTCCAACGATCTGGCTGAGTGACTGTATAGAAGTTGTTGCGAAGCTTCCCTGGAAAGCTGATCTCATAGAACGATGAAACAAACAAACGTCAACAGACTTC